GTTCACTGTTCCCTAAGGGGAAAACATAAACAGAGGGTGTTTGGGAACGGGGTGCTGAGGAGAATATTTGGTTCTAAGAAGAAGGAAATAACAGGAGGACGGAGCAAACTTCACAATGAGAAGCTTCACGACTTGTAATCTTCATCGAATATTATTCTAATGACGAAATTAAGGACAAAAATATGGGAATGACATGTAGAACGCATGAGGTGGATAAGAAATTCGTACGAAATTCTTGTAGGAAGACCTGAAGGAGAAAAACCGCTTACACACAGGTGTAGATGGGAGAAGAATATAAAATTGTGTGGCGCGCCGCCTACAAGCCAGAATATATGAGAGGGCGTCAATTGCTAGACAACGGCTCAGTAATCATGTTTCCCGTACAACAAGGAACAGTGAATACTTTGTTGCCTAGGCGGCAATTGTAAACACGTAAACGCTACAACGCGTACATTGGCAGACGTAACCGCGGGAATGAATGCCAGAGCTACTGAAGTCCACTCTGCAAGAAGGTCTCTTGTCTTCCAGTCAGTTCGACCGTGGAAGACAAGAGACCAGACGAGACCAGATCTGCAGATCAGAGAAGACAACAGTAAAGACTAGATCAGTGACGAACGGAGCAGAAGAAATCAGTTCATCTAAGAACCAGAAGACGACAGACTAGCCAGGTTGCATTGTCTGGAAGACGTGATTTCGGAGTGACTGTAATTGTAATTGTGAACAACTCGTCCAATAAAACAGCTTCGTTTAATCGGGAATCCATTCATTTCTTGTCTCGGAACCCCGGACACGTGACAGTAGGATGCCAGTGTATGGATTGGCCACAGCTGGCTCCGGATTGACTACACTATACACGAATAAACCTTCGGGTTCTCTAAAGTGCGAAATTCCTACTGCACTTAGCGACTGTCACCTTCTCAAGAAGTCTTCTGCGCCAGTGAGTTAGGGTAAGAGTTCTTCTCAGATACACTTTGAAGCTTGTTCGTACTGTGTTGCGACCTCCGGTGGCAAAACCTTTGCTACGCTCTGGGAGTACATTCAGAAACATGTTAGAAGCAGTCATTACATGTGAAGCAGCTGGTAATGCCATGTACGAAAATGGCACATTATTTTATGGATTGACATAATTTTACACAGCCTACATGTATATACATCATTACTGCTTAGCATAACTAGACTAGTTGAGTTTTCCCACTTTCACACCATAAATTACACCAGACACTTTGTGGTCTGTAGCGACGTTAAGACTTTCAGACAGAGACTAAGGCTGCTCCATAATTTGTTTTCAGTTCATGCCTTTATATCCTAAAGAAGGATGCTGTATATTCTCCTGCAACCTTAGTAACCACACACCATATTGGTTTACCACACTATGGATGCCATCGTGATAACTGCGAGGTATGTGAAGTCTTGTTTACAGGAATGTCTGAAACTGGTCACGGTTGTTAGATCGCAATGTTAATGCATACACGTATTTCGGAAGCATTATGAAGGCACCGTTTCTTGGAATGCGACGCCATGTAGTCCGGTTCAAGTTCACTGACGCTTCGGAGGAATTTCATGCCTCAATCTTTAGGGTCGGACACTAAATCTGGCATGAAACTATAAAAAAGCCGGCGACAAACAAAGTTTGTTGCGTGTCACGGTGAAAAATATTGTCGCGTGTAGTTGCCTGGTAACGTTTTCTATCAACAGCTAGTCCTCTGCTTCCGCGCTCAGGTCCTCTCTGAACCGTGTCTCTCTTTCAACTGTTCCTTCACAGACTCTCGTACCGAACTGACTTGGTTGCCCATATTATTTTCTTTATAACTCCTCGGCGCGGACCGCTAAGACAACACCGTTCATTCTCGTACGCATATCCGTTGCGACGGTAACGTGTTTACCGGACTGTTCTCTAGCAGCACCCTTCTCTGCTTGCTTATTAAGAATCTGCTGCATAGAAACGGACTTCTTCCGTTTTCTGTTTCGTTGTCGTTGCCTAGAAACGAATGCTATTTCGGAGCCGATCGCCAGCAACGGCTGTCTCTTCGGCAAATATGCCACAGCATTTATCTTCTTATCTTCTAACAGACTGGACGGAGGCATATTCCACTTTACCACTTTGCTTATATCCGGTAAGCACTGGGCGCTGTTGAGCAGTGTGCAGAAACAGGGGAGCAGCCTTGACTGGAAGACAGAAACATTTGTGTGTGCTTTGCCAGGAATCTGATATTGTAACATGTAAATAAAGTCACCTTTGGCTGTATTTCTCTACACCGATGAAATTTCTCTCCCTTTTTCCCCTTCTAAAATTTATTTTGCTCCTTTTACGTGTGTAATATTGTAACTGGCTTTATTTATTGTCAGGCGTTACTGTAAAAAGGGAATGGAAACAAGTTACACGATTGTAAAACTAAAAGCATTACAGGAAGTAGCGCCTTGCGAGAATGGCTGCCCGCATAGCAGATATCAGAAGGCTGTTATTTTTTATTATACAGCAGAATCGGTGGGTGGGAAGTCAAATGGTCCTAGCCTCTGGAATGTCTTCTCTTCTCCGGGGGATTGGAGCTTTAAGAGTCTAAATGGTACTGCTTGCAGATTGATTGAGCTTAGAGTCTTGCATAGCTACAGAATATGCAGTAAAACTTCTTGTCTCACAAGAATATTGTGTGTCTTGCAGGCCGATCCCAGTTTCACAAATATAACACTGCTACCTTGAAGATGAAGGCAACACTTTCTTCCGAAACGAAGGTAATTAGCCACTAGATACACGGAGTAACAATCCAGAATATTTTGTCTTGTGATATTTATGTTTCTCTGAATGTTACTCTCTTCAGGGAACCGTGACCGAGTCAACAGGTTGTTCCGAAACACTGGTTCTAACAGACAACACGGCGTCACAAACAGTACTCTCCATACGCCTCTCTAATTTTTATAAAGATAAAATTGTCTCTGTGCTTAATTAAGCACGACGATATCAGGGCGTAGGATGAATGGAGGTATAGCGCCACACACTCTCGACATTAGATGGAGATGAGTGGTGAGTTTCACACTCAGGTCACTTTAAACTCTGGGAAAGCCCCCTTCCCCTTCCCCAGTAACCACTGGATTGGCATCCCCACAGCACGTCTGAACGCAGACACTGCATCGAACCCCAGTTGTTCAGCCTGTAGACAGCCAGTCCTCTGACCCAGCTTTTCCAACTTATCTCACAGTCAGTGCAAATATTATCAATAAGTAATATTTATTTCATATTTATTCATTTATTTCCCATTTCAACTTAACTTGTCTATTCTGCGACCGACAGAACGGCGTAACAATAAAGGAACTTTGCTTGTGTTGGGAAGGCGCACCGTTCGAGTCTCTGTCAGGAAACCGGACATCCGGATTGAGAAATTTCGTGGTTTTCCTCAGTCCTTCCAGTCCAGTGCCGGGATCGTATCTCGAGTAGGGCATCGCTTTCTTCGAAATCCTTTCCAAAAAATTATTCATCAGTAGTTTAAACATTGGAGCCTATACAGTCGTGAAATTAAGCACAAACTGCCAGTCCAGTCTGCACCTCGCTAAGTGCCAGGTCGCAGATGGAGCGCCGAGGAAATGATAATGCGCTGCCTGCTTAAGGCTATCGCGCACCTCAGGGGGCGGTGAGTGATGAGTATGCAGCATTGGTAATTAGGAAGAGAAATGGGAAATTTCTATCAGACTAGACGGCATCACTGCCGGTCACGGTAGCCGAGCGGTCTAAAGGATGCACTGTCTTCACTCGCTCGGAAGCCGGGATCGTGAGTTCGAATCCCAATCAGGGTATGGATGTTCAATGTTTGTGTGTGCGTTTTTCTGTGTTTTGTACAGGTACAGGTAGAGGCCTTGCGACGAGCTGATCACCCGCCCAAGGAGTTCTACCGAATGTCTAAGATCTAGTAAACTGAAGTGAAACGGAAATTTTCATGGAGGTAGGCAAAGGCCCAAACTGGGGCTGTAGCGCCAAAGGGGGGAAAAAAGACGGTATCACATTCCGGATGATAATGTTCTTCACAGTCACCCCTGTGAGAACCTGAAACCCAACTTCATTGATATCATCCCCCGGTAGAGGTCAGCGCGGTAGAAAACAAAAAAGGGTTATGTCTCATGTGACATGAAACTTACTGAAATTTGAAATAAATGCAAAATAAAATCGTTACTGTTGAAGCTGCTGCAGTATTGGGTAGAAAGACATTTTGTTCTGCATCTCCTGGGCTCTGTCGGAACTATCTACTTCATAACATTTCGGCTACAAGATTGGGCTTTACGTTTATGTGGGTACAGGTGAGGACGAATACGATTCCGGACTTGAGGGGTGGGGTATTTTATCGGCCAGACTGCGAGTGTACAGGCTGGAATTCGAGATCAAGACATTTCTCTCTATACTGTAAAACTGTAACGATACTGCGTGATCGTAACACAGTGCGCCGATGGATCACTGCATGTGTTTTCTGCAGGTAGCATTAATTCTGCCAGTGGGTGGATCTACCAACAGTAGTTTCTCTGTTGTCACTTGTCATTTTCGTGAAGAATAAATGTTTAGTAGAGCTTTTTGAATCCTGTGTTTTCTGTCTCCTCAGCAATGGACGATGTAATTCGTTTCTGAGTAAGCACAGCCGCCAGGATGTAATAAATATATAAAATAAATAAACAAATTTATATACAGGGATTTTATGTAATATGTATACTATATATATTTATAAAGGCATGGAGTAGGTGCACGGGGTAGCGTAGTTGGTTGAGGCACTATGCTACAAGCCTAAATATGGTGAGGCACACACACATACAGCGATGTTATATTGGCTTATACTGAGAAGGAAATCGATAATCCAGATACTTTGTATAGAAGACTGCCAATAATAGGCAGTACAGAACGAGAACAAAACGTAATTTTGAAGTACCATTACGACATTCGACACAAAGGCACTCACAGAAAGACACGTTTTTAGGAAACATAAGTCCAAAGCTTTCTAGTGAATTAAAGTTATAATACAAGGATATTCTTTGCTGCCAACTTTTATTTGAAGATTGAATTTCATCTAAATAATTCTTACCCATTTGAGTTCCCACCTCGCAGTAAACAAATATATCCCTATTACATAGACAAATCTGTTAATGCTGGTTAGGGGAAAGAATCTCTGTTTAATCCGGGAATTACACAACACACATAAGCACACTGTGCTGACAAAATGGAAAGCTTTCAATGTTGAGAAATGTGGTACACATAGTTACCGCTGTCCTTTAAGGGATTAGAATTGCGTTGCATCTTGTGATTCAAAAATACCTAATTTGCTATTTCATCTTCGCAGTACAGTTCTCTTTTGTAAAGGGCAACACATAATCAGTGTCTGCCAGTTTCATTTTGGTGTAGAGGTTTATTTTCTTCTCTATTTCTGGCGTGATGTCTTGCTTCCAACTTCCAACCTCACCCTTCCTCATAAATGGCTGTATTTCTCCATTTATGTTCGTCTGCATTCCGCGAAGTTTAGCCACTTCAATTTCATGTGATACTGAAGGATTATTCTTCATGGACTCAAAGCTGAGGTGATCGCAGAGTTGCTTCATCTCTTCGGAGTTCAGGGTGCAGTTCAGGAAGTCTGCTGTCTGCTTTACCACCCCGGGCAAGTCCTAAACACAGTAAAATAATTCGTCAGTAGACTCACATGCGAGTAGAACTGACATCAGAACTGATTTCTTGATGTGATTTCAAATGTCTACGGTACACGAATAATTGACTTTTTTAGATGTCGTTAACATGGCGTCAAGGCGTGTGAGAAGTGCTGAATGGAATTGCCATTTTCGTGAGTTGAAGTTGGGAATGGTACTAATTTAATGAGCAGATTTCTTCTGGAGAAGCTGATAGTTTCGCAGCTACTCAGTAAATTCCCAGCCTGTTTTGGAACCCAAGAGCACATTACCGTGTTGGCAAGGGCCTGCCACATTTCTCCATTGTGACCAATTTGAATCCGGTCCCCAGCATCAAGATTCCTTTCAATGTTATGCCCCAGTGTATGTCTAGGGCCGATCACAGTGGCCGCTCTGTCTGAGGCAAGAAACTGTCATGGCTCGCACGGACGCTGGGATTGTGGGTCCGAATCCCACTCGAGGCATGGATGTCTGTTTGCGTTTATTCTGTGTTTGTGTTGTTCTGTGTGTAGGTAGCGGCCGTGCGACAGCCTGATCCCCCCCGGTCCAAGGAGTCCTACCGGCTGTGTATAGGATTAAGAAACTGAAAAAGCAGCGAAAGTCCCCCCCCCCAAAACAGGTAGATAGATAGATAGACAGACAGACAGATATATAGATAGATAGTTAAACAGACAGATAGATCCATGCCTAGGGTTCCCAGAACCTGATGTATAGTTTTGACGGATGGGCTGTTGGATGGTTGTGGGTTGGTGGGTGGGTGGATAGGTTTCACGCGTTCCATAGACCAAGTCATGACACATGAATATGGGCAAACACTCGAATTGTACGTGTCACGACTTGAACCGCCAGTTCTCTGAGTGTATGTACTTCTAAATGATACACCGTGAAGTGCATCAAGATATTAGTGCCCTGTAAATGGTAGATGGGAGATATTACCTTTTTCATCTCTTCATATGTAGTGAACATCACGTTTGGTTCATGGCGCAACTTCCAGAAATCCAAAATGTGATCCCACACGGAACCATATGGAACTGAAAAGAAGAGACATTGTGCTCTTCAACAGCGCATGTCACTGAAACAGATGAGCTGCAAAATCCGAAAACAAGACCTTACCAATCTCAGCCAGTAAGGCCTCAAAGAAGTCCTCACTTGAGCCGGCGTATCCAAAGAAGAGGCGGTGGTGATGGTAGTAGGACACGGCGACGTCCTTCGCATCCCGAGCCACGTAGATGATCTGTGAAACACATCATTGCAACTGTTGACATCTTGCGGACGTGACCAGGAACTGACATGTGCCCACAACAGAGGCAGAACTCACAACAACCTTCCTTCTGACAGCTCACGTTTCTACTCCTACAGATACGAGGGTCATCCGTGCCTTTCTGGGCATCACTGAAGGGATTCGGTTCGAATCTCGACCAGAACACCGACCGATTATTCTGGCTGAGGATTTTCGTGGTTTTACTCAGTTCCTCCGGGGAAATAATGGGATAGTTGCCGATATTATGCCATTGCTATTTCGTTACAAATTCTTTTCCATTCATCCAAACATTAAATGGTAGAAAATTAGGACGTTACTGAATTTCAGATCTATATTAAATTTGCCGAATTTAAACTCTGTTGCCATGCTGACTGTCAGCAACATGTTGGCACGGTTTAGATTGACTATAGATGGTGTTTGGATTGGTGACTCGATTTATTGACCACCTATATACTCACGGCTCGTGTCTACACTTTACAGATCACACACACACACACACACACACACACACACTAGTATCCTCAGTCTATTACGGTCACCATTAGCCGCTTCCTGGCAACGTATTTTAACAGTCTCACTGAATGACACTCGCCTAATATCACATATAGAATCTTCTCTTCACAACCTCCCATACAGAATTGAACTAAGCTGCAAACCTTGCCTCGCTTGTAACGGCTTGGCACGGACTACATAGAAAACACTCCAGTTTCCAACAGTAACTCTATCATTGCAGAGGAAACGTATTTACCGAACCGTTGCCAAGAAACGGCCATTGTTTACAGGGTCACCGCTTAGCAACGGGTGAGTACGTCACAATATTGTACACAGTTTAGGCATATACATCATACAGTTTTTACTTTCATATCAAAATTCACATACCTAAGTCTAACGATTCGTTTGTTATTGCAATTAAATTATTAGCTAAATAAATCTTTATTTTATATTCTGGAAAAGTTGTTGTACAAACAGTTGCAGATTTTTCAGGAGTTCATGCTACATCATCATTACATCATTACAATCATTGCCGACAATGTCACTTGCACATCAGGTACCTGAGATCGCCATGAATTATTGGCAGAGGAGGAGGAGATACAGCACTGAGCTGCCTCCAGTGGCTTAACGTTCGTACCAAGTTTCGTGAAAATTAGTCAAGTGTTTAAGAAGTCAAGATTTGGGGGAAAATACAGGCACACAATTTCTGCCTGCAAAAGAAGGAATGTGGGCCATAACCCTACCGACATTTTTATCTTCCCAGTTTTGCAAACAGAAACATTTCAGAAACTGGTTCTGATCCCTTCTTCAGGTTGTAAAATACGGCACAGTGACGAATCCTATTTCATTGGGTGCCTTTGTACAGCTTTACCTTGGGCCTAACTGTCCACAGTTGTTCCGGCAACATTTGCAGTGGCAGATGGGTCTTGATACAACGTGGAGATTTCAGCATCTCCACTTCACGTACAGAATCTCCAATGTTTGCTTTAGTTCTGGCTGCTTCAGTTACCCAACACCCAATCCTGAGAAGATATGCAGTATACAGTATTTGATTTGAATGGCTCATGCAAGAATTCAGTGTAATAACAAATCATTATCATCAGACATTTGCTTGTCTCTGTAGCACTGACCCTTAGGTTCAGCGGTAACTTTATGTGACGTGATGGAAGGAGATACCGCAAAGACACAAATAACTAAATAACATTACTCACATCTTCTGACTCATGTTTAGGGACCGGATTTTAAGGCAAATGCATATTTCTTTCTTGCAACCAGAAAGTATGCTCGTTTGGATATATGTAGGAATCACGTCATTTTTTAAATTTTGGACATGGTTTGATGGTGCATATAAATGCATATTTTGCCTGTTTTATGAATAAGCATCATATTTTCGAAGATCTCTATTTATTCTGCATATTTCCTTTTTAAAATGTTTATCATATATATTTTTTAATTTTGTGTTCAAATTTTCAATCATGGTCGTGTGTATACAATATTTCTTCTCCGTATTAGAATACGTTGCATATTTGACTCAACATTTCGTCATGATTTATGTTTCTGATGCAATACCCAGGACGGGACTTCCCCGATCCCTCTACTCGTAACTTGCCTCATCCGCGTACCACCAAAGTTGCCGCGAAGAGATTAGTCGGAAGCGTTCACATGTAGCCGCTATCAACTTAATACTATTCAACCGATAAGGGACTTCACTTATTTATTTCCGAAGTCTCAATGAGGTTCCTTACGCTTGTTCATTTGAAGCTGAGGGCCATTCACATTAGTGGTGACTAGTCTGTAGTGAAGTTTGTTTAGCTTTCTATAGTCTTGCCGAAAGTGAAAGTAAGTCAGAAAACTAAATTACAGCTGTATCAGCGGGACTTCGAAGAAAAGATGATAAGTACGGATAACGAAATTCTTTATTGCCGAGCGTGTGAGAACACAGTTGGTTGTGAAAAACGCTTTCAAGTGCTTCAGCATTTGAACACTAATATACACAAAGAGAATATTAAAATTAAATCCACGAAATGTGCTCCTGTTCTAAAATTGCTTAGTGAATTTTCTAATAATAGTTTTTCACAGTTTTCCTTTGAGTTATGCGAAGCCTTTTTAGCGGCAGATATTCCGCTGTGGAAACTAACCAGTCCTACTCTAAGAAACTTCATAGAGAAGTATACACAGTGCAAAGTGCCGGATGAATCTACTGTGCGCAAAAATTACGTGAAGCAGTGTTACGATCTTACAATTGAAAGCATTAGAGATAAGATTCAAGATAATTTTGTGGGTATCAATCGACGAAACACAAGATTGTGAAGGACGGTTTATTGCAAATTGTATAGTTGGATCCCTTAATAAGAACGAACAATCTACCCCATATCTTCTTGCGGTAGAGCAATTTGAAACCACAAATAGCTCCGCAGTTTCCGAATTTTTTTTATAAATTCCGTTAATTTACTATGACCAAATGGCATTCAGTATGAGCGCGTATTGCTCTTTGTGACGGATGCCGCAAGTTATATGATGAAAGCCGGTACTGCCCTTAAAGTTATATTTCCAAATATGACACATTTGACTTGCCTTGCCCATGGGTTGTACCGTGTTGCGGAAACAATTCGTGCAAATTTTCCGCTTGTTAACAAGTTGGTGTCTTCTGTGAAGAAGGTCTTTGTTAAAGCGTTTTGTATCAGTCGTTAAGTGTGCTCAGAACCACTGTTTCCCAATTGAATTCGGTTCCTGGAAGAGTTGACGTAGTAAAGGAAAAAGTACACACCATTCTTTCAAAAAAATCCAGGATATGAACAAATTTGTGAAATTGAAGAAATTTTAGCCGGTAAACGTACTGAAGTGTCAAGTAAAACATCACTAACAGTGGAGCAAATAGCGGCTTTTGTACATGCGCCCCTAAGTTCCTGTGAGATGGAAAGAAGTTTTTCCCGCTATAAGGACATCTTACGAGACAACAGGAGGAGACTAACTATGGAAAACCTAAAACATTTTGTAATTGTGAACTGCAACAGAAGAGAAGTTGAAAGTTCGGAGAGCTAAATGTGAGTACCATTGGTTTTTTAAATTTGTAATGAAATATATTGGCTTTGTTGCATGATTTGTATTTAAGTATAGCTTTTTATTGAATAATTCAGTGATTACATAAAATGAACTTAAATATTGATTTGTTAGTCTTAAAATAATGTAAAATCAATTTTAATATTTAGTATAAATTTTTATGTGCATATTTTAGTGCATATTTCGGAAGTTTTTCATGCATAAATGCATACATATACAAGGGATTATTAGGGCATAAAAATCCGGTCCCTACTCATGTTGGAGCCACTACTGATGCCTCAGGGCATTTGTACTAACAACTGCAGTTAGACTGCCGTCAGCTCTCGCTGTCTGCCTTTTGGGCTTCAAGGGCTTACTTGATATGTAGATATGTTACACGTAGAGACCACAGATGTGGAATAACAGGCAGATCGGTTATAGTAACCTTGAAGATCTTTCACTCAGGCTTGTAGAGCAGCGAAGCTCCGCCAACTGCATCAAGTCACTTACTCAAGATAGGGTGACCTCTCTGTCTGGAGGATGCTCCTGGCAGTTTTGTAGTCCAGATTGTTGACAAGAAGCCAGACCATTTCTTGCATCCACGTCGTTCCTGTGAGACAGTTTGCATTACAGTGTTACCTCTTGTTTCGTATGGGTATGAAACTTGATCAGTCACATTGAACAAATAACATAGACTGAGAGCGCTTAGTAACTTGGCGCTGAAGAGAATATTTAGACCTGACTGAGAAGAAGGAACGGACGAATGCAGAAAATTACATAATGAGGAGACTAATGAGAGAGACTTGAGGTTCTAACTGTGGTATCAAAATTACAGTTTTATGGGATGTGACGTAGTTAGTAGATGGATGCCAGTGTCTCGGAGAAATGTGTTGCCTCCAGGTTTATTCTTCTATCCTGAAGATGGAGACAGCAGATTCTATCGAAAGATGATACCTATCCATCACATAATCGGCGCCATATCCCAGAAGACAGGAATCTTCAGTAGCTTCAGAATCTGTACTACCATATTCACTGAATATTGCTTGGAACACCAAATCAGGGAATGTGATATGGGCAAGGCATGTAGCACGCTTGAAAGGTGAATATAGATTGTAACTCTGATAAACTTAAGTCAAGAGATCAGATAGAGACCTACACGTAGGTGGGAGGATAATAATAAAATTGATCTTAATTACATAATGTGTGAGGATGTGGACTGGATTCATCTGGCTCAGGTTAGGGTTCAATGGTGGTTTCTCATGAACATGGCAATGAACCTTTGATTTCCAAAAACGGCCTAGGAAGTTGTTGGGTAGCGGATGGACAGTTAAGGACTCTGTGTCCTGAATTATTTAGTTCGCTTTCCCATGCCACTCACCAGATTTGGGGTATGTCACGACCCAGACGTCATCCTCCCTCACTGCCAAGCGTCGCACCCTGTCGGCGTAGTTTCGGTACTCGGCAAACATGGCGCAACCGGGCGGCCATACTTTGATAATGCCATCGCCTTCAAAAGTTTGGTTCGCAGCTCTGAACCTCTCGACGAGCGGTCCTTCCAGTACTTCATATCTGAAATCCTGGCTCTTCTCTTGCATCCTTGAGTTGCCGAGTTCTGCGAACTTCTGGGGAGCGGAGATGTTTTACGTAGCTGTCAATATCGTCACGATACAGCGTCGATGACCGACGAATTGGAATAAATCAGGAAGGAAGCGATGGTTGTCTAATCGTGTTAGTATCCCGGAATTCGCGGTAGTGGAAATGGGGCGACGTAATAAGAACCTCGATGAGGACAGCCAATGCCACGGCCAAGATTCGAACCGAACTCCTAATGGATAAGAGCCAAGAGAGTTACCGTCGAACCACTCGTGACATATTTGAATTTCAACGTGGTGTTAATTTCGTTGAGAGAAGTAAGGAGCCCGGAATTAGGATACGCAAGCTGCGAGAGGGCGAGTGTCACACTGCGCATTTTCAGTTGTCTTCGTGTTTTATTTCTATTGTTAAAAGTATCTGCATATGCCGTCAAGGTTAGCTCGAGCTGTTGAGCTTCTGACCTGTATCAGAGGAAGTCCATAGCTCGAATCTCGACTGGGACACCCTCTATCCTTGCCGAGGTCTTTAATGATGTAAAACCATCTACGCAGAAGACTGGAATAGTAGTCCAGCTCAGATTAGGCCATGGAATTTTCCTTCCACCTCCCGTCAAATATATTATATTCATTAATCATTGTATATTATTAACTTATTTTAATTTCTTTAACAATACTGTAAGTAACTCAGGTTGTATAATGTCAGACGGAAGGGTGTGGTGAATAATGGATTGAAATGAACGTAGAAGGAAACAGTCGTGGCCTAATTTAAATGAAACCCTATGCCTGGAGGGGCTGAGAAAAGCATCAAAGAACCTGTGAGAATAATCGGTCCATTATGTGAGCTACTGACAGCATCGTTAAATAAAACACAAATAGAGAACTACTGTTATCCAGTTACCCGTAAGTCTTCATGGCGTGGGGCTTAATTCATTAAGCTGAGGAATAATTTTACGTTCTCTCATTCTCCACCTCCACTTCCACCTCCCCCTCCTCCTCCTCCTCCTCCTCCTCCTACTACTACTACTACTACTACTACTACTTCTGCCTCTGAATTTTCCAATTCACAAATGATTATGTGAACTCATGTTTCTGTGACATGTAGTGGTTTGGATCCCGAGAGGTGAGGTCATGTTGTTTTATCGCTCCCCCAACTGCACTTTCATGGTGAAAGCGACAACTCCAAGTTACTTGTTTTGCTGTGATAAGTGTCTGTTGTCTAGAACCGGTTTAACTTTTGAAGTGCAGAGACGCGTAATTCGCGAGTGTGGCTACATTCAGGATACAAACAGAGACTCCTGAGAAAATACATATGTGCACAGTCTAATTTTAACATAATAACATCCACGCACGGAAGGCACTAGGGGCGTGACAAATGGAACACTTCCGTGACAAAATAACACCGCAATAGAACAATATGAACCTTGACCTAATTATTCAGATACCAGCCATGATGTCAGCGCAGCTGCGTGGCCCCGGTGAGGCTTCAATCATCAGTGCAAGCCGGTGATCAAGAAAGATCAAATGGAAACGCGACAAAGCACTTGTTTACAACGTGTACCACTAACTCCACAACAAGTCTCACATATACAACAGACACAGCAAGAAACCCCATGCACGCAACGCCCACCCATAATACCCTAACACACAAATCGCAAATAGATACAATAAGCAGAGAATATAACCGCAACAGCACACTTTTCAGAAAGGGAAGAAAGCAATACAAACGTGTATCCTGGCAAGAAGCCAGAGGAAGAGGAACGAAATGAGTAAGTCCAAAAACCGCAAGAGAACCAAAAATGAAAAGAATACGTCATAAGACACAAGCAAACAACGCTACTCAGCTAGCAGCCATTAGTGACAGGTTCGAACCTCTGCGACACTTACAAACAGAGATACGAAAGAAAGGACCCAGCACCACCAGCAACATACGTGTATGTCGAAGCGTCAACAGCTGCAATTGAACGAGAAGTTAACAGACTAAACTGAATACTTAAAATAATGATCAAGGCTATGATAAAAATAATGGCAGCCAAATTAGATGATCACAATAATAGACGTTCCATGTGTACCAACCTCGGCATGATATTGGGCCCCCTGACATCATAATTACATATCCCGTTACACTCTTATCCCCTGCATAATCAGCATCACTAAATGCTTCCAGTTTCACAGTTTCAGAGTCAGATGAGGTATATTTTATTCCTGAATCTCGTGTGTACAACACTCAGCGGCAGTAGGAGACAGAAGAGATGGAAAGAAGAGGACACAAAATTAGAAACCTCTGGAGCATTAGACACAGGGTCACTGGAAATCCCTTCTCACGCTTATTAGATATGGAAGAAACAGTCGACATCGAATATCTACAAAACACGAGCGTCTAATTTGATCCTCCTCAAACAAACAAAAATTCTGTAGCTGTAGTCCGCAAGTGTACTATACCAACCGAACGACCGCTGCTTGTCGGCGAAGTTAGTGCCTGATAGCGGATAGAGGGTGTCGCGTCGTCAGCGCAACCAATCCCCACGGCTGTTAATTTCGATTTTCTAGACCGAAGCTGATATTTTTCCATTGAAGTAGCTCCTCAGTTATCCTCACGAGGCTGAGTGGACTCCGTTCCAGACCCACCACTTCTCAGAAAATCTGGTAGCGCCAGGAATCGAACCCGGACCTCTGGATCTGTAGCTAGGAACTCTGACCACTAGACCACAGGACCATAGAGGCGGTCTTTGAGCCTCCTCATAAAAAGAAAATGAATATACTGCCATGCAAGAAGTGTCGAGCGCACTTTTATACCAAGGGGTGTTGCGCATGCAGGCCAAGGTGCATGAAATGTGGCAAATCACACAGCACTGAACAATGCACTACATGAGACACAACCAGCAAAATATCTGCACTGGGAAATCGCATCCGGCTAGCTACAGACGCTGCAAAATCTATTAAGAAATCATACGATCTAGACTTGTATCAGCCCGATCAATAGAAAGTATTCGCTTTACAAAAATACCGAGACAAGAAAGGAAAGTCGTGCTGCACCAGTGAAACTCCAAGGAAGACAGGAAGTGATATACGCCCAAGCGACCAGAAATGTTATTGCAACATTAGAAATATCAGCAAAAGCACACAAAAACAATGCTCAAGAGATTACGCCCGATATTAGAAGAAAAAATAATCATACCGGACGATCAGTTTGAATTTTGACAGCAAAACTCCACCGCCACCCAGCAAGTACACAGAAGTACAGAGATAATAAGAGGAATATTAGAAGGAAAAAGAAAACAGTACTGTTCTTCGGGGTTGCTAAATGTCAAACACGCGTTTGATGAAGCATGGCACCAAGGACTGTTGTTCAAAATTAGAAAAAAACCCTTCCCCGTACACTCTACAGAACATCAGAATCATGTTGAAAAGGAGACTATTCAAGTGAAACCAAAGATAAAATCACAAATATATGAGAAATCGATACAGGTGTATCGCAGGGAAGTATCTTAGGACCCGGCCTGTATCTTATCTACACAAGTGACCTTCCGACATCGGACAAGACAACAACTGCTACCTCTGCCGATGATACAGCAATATTGGCAACACATGAAGAACCAGGGATAGCTTCAGTGAAATGAAGTTAATGAATGGGCAACGAAATGCAGAACTGAAGCAAATCAAAACAAACTCATGCACATTTCATTCACCCTGCGCAATCAAGCCTGTCCAACAGTGCAAATGGCCAGTGTTGCTGCTCTACCACAAAAAGAAAAACGAAGTGAAATACCTTGGCATGCACCTTGATAGAAGACTTACATGGGTAAAGCATATCACAACCAAAAGAAACCAGCTCCACCTTTAGGAGAAGGGAATGAACTGGCTACTCGGAAGGTCAACAGCATCAACAGAAAGCAAACGTGCTCAGTCCCAACTGAACAGCATTTGCGGTATACATCCTGTTGTTTTATTTACGAAAAGATATAATTTGGGACAGTCGCACAACAAGTAATCAGAAAGAAACAAAATAGACATTACAAAGTGGAACAACAGACAACACACGTACGATATATAGCAGGCACAAGGCTTAAATGGATTTTGTAATATTGACTATAGATACCTTTTTTTTTTTTAATTTTAATGGGGTGGGACTAAGTCCCTTGTACTGCTGCCACTTCTGGCCTATTGTACCAGCCCCAGATGATGGGTGAGGGTGATTGTGGAGCAACTGGTGGAATGAAGATTGGCAGGAGAAGCCAAAGTACTCGGAGAAAACCTACCCCAACGCCAATTTGTCCACCACAAATCGAACTTGACCAGACTCGGGATCAAACCCGGGCCGCCGCGGTGGGTAGCCAGCGACTAACCGCTTGAGCTATGGCGCGGCCTGTATAAATACCTTAGTAGCCATTATAATTATAATATTTTTTTTTTGTAATTTTAATTTTTATCCTTTTAATATCAAGTTTAATGTTTAGTTTTAACTATATTTGGACCACAGTTTAAAAATTAAGATATAATTGTTAGTCAAGAATAACCATGGAGACACAATATGAATTCATATTGTTTAATGACGAAATTCAGAAGCTAAATAGTATTCACGTACGCCTGATGATGACCCAAATAAAGGGTCGAAACATGTAGCGTTACTACCAACAACGAATGAAAAGAAATGACACAGTAGTGTCTATTTTGTTTCTTTTTGATTATTTGTTGTGGTACTGTCCAAAATTATATATTTTCGTATGGAGGACAGCCTCGAATTCCAACGTTGAAATACTTCAGCGTTTCCAATCAAACGCTCTCAGATCTATACCGAATGAACCTGGTATAACAGCAACTGCAGGACCCGTGGAGACGGCAGCAAAAAGTGAAACAAGGAAGCGGAGTGACAGATGCATAAACAGATCACAAAATCACCCGAAGGCATTAGCAATGAAGCTGTTAGGTAAAAGTGGAATCGTAAATAGACTGAAAAGATAGTCACTATCGGACAGACTTGAGTAACGTAACCAATGAACATGATCAGTAAGTGAACAGTGAACAAGTACAAGAGTTACGCCAGTGGGCATAACTCATTCATGCGTCTTTCCATATAACACACATATCATGTATATTTATCATAATAAATGTGAACAACAAATACTTTTGTGAAGAAATACGCAACAACCACTTCTTCCTACTGCTCGACTGAGTACATCCGCCCATGTCACATGAGTTTACTTACGTATTTGAACTCGTCTGAAGAGAGTGTGACTTGAGGCAGCACTGAACACTGAGTAACTGAAATACCTTTCGCTCAAGCCTTTATAAAAACGACAGATAAAAAAGAACCGATAAAGAACAAGGTCACTTGCGTTCCACTTCGTTTCCTGCATAATCACTGGCAAGTCATGGGCCCTCTCTGTTATGTTATGGCCTTGCAAGCACTGCCGGCGGACAAGCTGGTAGTCGTTCAGCTAAACAACAAACACTCCGTCTCTTATATAATCCGGAGGTCCATGCTCATGTTTTCTGTCACGTGATACTGGCATATATCTTGAGCCAGTTCAGTCCAGAGATTATTCTTATCCTTAACATAAGGTTTTAATTTTATCCTCTCATCTACTCCTCGGTTAACAAGTCCTTCTCTTCAGTTTTTGCGTCTAACAGACTATTCAGAGCCTATTATTATAGACAAAATCATATGTCACGGTGTGACAGGCGTAGAGAAATACAAGGAAGAGGTAAACTTGTCCCAGTGCTTAAATACCTAAGCACTATGCCATGACGACGCATGGGGGGAGTGGAGGTGTGGCTGTACCCTTCATAACCTGAGCACTAGATGGAAGTGAGTGGCCAGCTCCACCGCCCGGCCGCTTTACCCCCGTCATACATNTGAAAGGTTACGTGACTTGAAAAGTTAGTTACAAGAAAGTGGAAATGATTTTACATTTGTATTTTATCTCGGACATACCATGAACTTGATTTGCACTGTTGCGGAACATTAATTATCCTTCAAAATGTCGCCTTTAGAACTGCGAAATTATCTTCATTTACATTAATATGATATATGAAGTGACAAATTCTAATTACGAATGTTGAAGTTTTAAAAAATATGGAAATTTTGTTACCGGGAGATTAATATCGACTCCTCTAGAAACTCCTGTACACTGCGTTTAGAATATAACTTGGCAGTCACGTGACATGAACTGGATAACCGTATTTATTGCGTATTTATTCAAACCTGGCTCTGAAATCCCTGTTTTCCGGTACACTTCTCGAGTCGCTACATAATTACGGATTTTCATTTCCGGAAGGCTCTGGAGTCGAACCTAGGGACTTGAAGTGCGATTCCAAGACATTCACACAATTTTTATGAGACTGAATGAAAACTGTAGAAAACACTTTTATGTGTGGAAGCACTCAGATTCGAACTCAGGCCATTTTTGTGGTTTCCAGTGCATCTACAATTTCCATACATTCAATAGGTTTTGAGTATTTAGGGACTGGACGTTACTGACGAACATTCGAACTCCGTTTCAGGTTATAACTTCTCTGTTTAACTCATTTGAGCTGAAAAAAGCAACATAATGGAAACCTTTATAGTCTCATGTTAGCCTTGAAGTAGCGAAAGGGGTGGAGTGTTTGTGGGTTGTGCCTCTCTCATTCAATTGTTTCACCTCGTGTCACCTCTGCCACGTCACTTGTTGCAGTGGCGGATTATTTGTAACACCCCCCTCCCTCCAGGCAGCTTGATTCCGTAACATGTACCGTTAATAATAAACAAAGAGCGCACTAATAACACCTTGACACTGTTAGTGCATCTCTGCACATTGCTGTGTTTAAGCTTCTGGACATGAAGGCGTATGGAGGAAGTGGAGACAAATCTTCACGCATCCTACTACATCCCGGCACAAGCTTTGAGCTGCGTGGTGAGGTTCACGCTGTTAAATATGTGTTTATTTATTTATTTATTTCATAACGCTCTGTCTTCGTCCTGGTCTAGTTATTTCTCAACTACACACACTATATACGTATCATGAATGGTGTATTTGAGACTATATGGGGTCGCATTGGCTTATCTCGTGGAAGTATGGCGGCATTCGAATGGAAGGGCTGAAGAACACCACGAAATATTCGATAAGAATAACGGTTGTGGTGACCGAGAGAAGAACCTGGGACCTCACAGATAACGGGCAAGTCAGCCAACCACTACACCGCGACGCTCGATACAGGCAGGCCCCAGTACTGTGGACAGAAACAGCTTGTGCCCACACCGGGATTGAACCCTGGCAACTCATGCTTAACTGTGCGTACAGAACCTGAGAACCAGGACACAATCTGCTCCCGCTTGAAGATGCAACTTCATATCATTTGTACGAATTAAAGTTGGAATACAAGGATATTCTTTGTTACCAGCTTTTATTTTGAGAAAGAAATTCATCTAAGTAATGCTTACCAAGTGAGTTCCCACATCACAGCAAACAAAATATAGCCGTATTACAAACCTAACCGGTTTATATTTTACGTGCATATTCTGGAAATTACACAATACACATAAACACACTGTGTTGACAAAATGGAAAGCATTCAATGTTAAGAAAGGTGGTACACATAGTTACCGTTTTCCGTCAAATGGTTCAGAATTGCATTGCATCTTGTGATTAAAAAATACCTAATTTGCTATTTCATCTTCGCAGTACAGTTCTCTTTTGTAAAGGGCAACACATAATCAGTGTCTGCTAGTTTCATTTTGGTGCAGAGGTTTAATTTCTTCTCTGTTTCTGGCGTGATGTCTTGCTTCCAACTTCCAACCTTACCCTTCCTCATAAATGGCTGTATTTCTCCATTTATGTTCGTCTGCATTCCGCGAAGTTTAGCCACTTCAATTTCATGTGATACTGAAGGATTATTCTTCATGGACTCAAAGCTGAGGTGATCGCAGAGTTGCTTCATCTCTTCGGAGTTCAGGGTGCAGTTCAGGAAGTCTGCTGTCCGTGTACCAAGGCACACGCCCACTGTGAGTGCAACTGAACACACAGACATAAGCTTCTATTGTTATAAGGAGCTGTGTTACTGTATCATGTGTAGAGACAATCTGACCAATAACGCCATCTACCAGACAGTAAGTAACCCCTTTACGAGCACAAATTAACACACGTCACACTGTAAGATATGTGAAACATATCTTGTTAGTTGCTTATAAGGCACGAAGTACATATTTCTGGGATTAGAACTGATTTCTTTATGTGATTTTAAATGTCTACGGTACACGAATAGTTTTATTTTTTAGATGTCGTTAATATGGCGGTCAAGGCGTGTGCCAAGTGTTGAAGATAATTATCATTCTCTTGAGCTGAACAATTGCGGGCTACTACTAATTCAATGAGCAAAGTCTCCCAGATCCTGAAGTATGGCTTGGACGGATGGGCTGTTGGATGGTTGTGGGTTGGTGGATGGGTGGATAGGTTTCACGCGTTCCATAGACCAAGTCATGACACATGAATGTGGGCAAACACTCGAATTGTACTCGTACGTGTCAGGACTTGAACCGCCAGTTCTCTGAGTGTATGTACTCCTATATGATACACCGTGAAGTGCATCAAGATATTAGTGCCCTGTAAATGGTAGATGGGAGATGTTACCTTTTTCATCTCTTCATATGTAGTGAATATCACGTTTGGTTCATGGCGCAACTTCCAGAAATCCAAAATGTGATCCCACACGGAACCATATGGAACTGAAAGGAAGAAAGAATTGTGATCTTCAACAGCGCATGTCACTGAAACAGATGAACTGCAAAATCCGAAAACAAGACCTTACCAATCTTAGCCAGTAAGGCCTCAAAGAAGCGGCCTCCGTAGTCTAGAGTTAACGTTCCCACCTCATGACTCGGGGTACGCGGGTTCAAATACCCGGCGGAGGTCGTCGAATTTTTAAGGGCGGGAAAATTCAGGGAACAAGTCCTCCGGGAGGGACTTTAAGCCGTATGTCCCATGTCGTAGCTTTACGGCACGTAAAAGAACCTCATATATCCAAAGGAGATCACTGAGCCAAATTCAAGGACGTTTCTCGCCCAACAGTAGTCTCTGAGGCTTCTGATAGATGAGGGAAGCATTATAGACACCGCCAAGCTAGTGGAGGCCGAACTCGCTGGCTCGGCGGGACTGATGGTACGCACCAATATCGGTAGGGTAGAGAGACTGGTAGAATATCATAGAGGGAAGCACAATGGACCAATACTGGTCTAAGTGCATGGGGAAACCAACCCTCTCCAATAACTAACTAACTAAGGCCTCAAAGAAGTCCTCACTTGAGCCGGCGTATCCAAAGAAGAGGCGGTGGTGATTGTAGTAGGACACGGCGACGTCCTTCGCATCCCGAGCCACGTAGATGATCTGTGAAACAGATCATTGCAACTGTTGACATCTTGCGGACATGACCATGAACTGACATGCGCCCACAACAGAGGCAGAACTCACAACAACCTTCCTTCTGACAGCTCACGTTTCTACTCCTACAGATACGAGGGTCATCCGTGCCTTTCTGGGCATCACTGAAGGGATTCTGTTCGAATCTCGACCAGAACACCGACCGATTATTCTGGCTGAGGATTTTCGTGGTTCTCCTCCGTCTCTCCGGACAAATCTTGGGACAGGTACACCTATCATGCCATCACTGCTTCCTTACAAATTCACAACAACATATCGTCAGGTTTCCATGGCTTCGTGACCGATATTGACGTGTTTGGAGTTGGATGAATAGATTTATTAACACCTTCTCTTACAATCTCTCTTAATCACAATCAGTTACAACAGCTCACAATAAATGACAGCATAGGATTCGCTCCATTCCGGTTGGACTAGACTGTCTTAGCTTCTACTCTGTCTTATACCGGTACTTTCCTCCCCTGGCCGCTGTCTTCGAGTCTGACTGACTTCTACTGGCTTCGTTCGCAAAGTCAAAGTCAAAGTCACATTGCGACTGACGGTCAGTCAGTCTGTCTGTCTTAGTGTCGAGCCACGCTGGGGCTCATGACCAGATGTTTTCTTTTAAATGAACACTCGCAGCTAAAACGGGAACACACATCACAAGACACGGTTTACACAGAATATAAGAAAAACGAGCCCCATAGTAGAAGAACCACACGCAAGTTTCAATTAAGACACATAAGATGAATAATCTTAACAAGTTTTAGTGTGTTCAAATTTATTATAGTTGACGAATACGCACTTTTTAAATACTTTTTAAATAATTTTATAGATACATATAATGGCAAGCAATGCAATAGATTAGCATAATTAGGGCACCTGATGATGGCACTATGTTGCCGAAACATGTGAAGTAACAGGTGAAATTGAGTGCACTACAAGACGGCCACAGTATACATATCATGGATGAAAATCAGTGCAACAGGACGCTAAAGTACAACATTTTAAATGAAAGTTATTGTCCTGCCCATGTGGGGCGCCTTCTCTGACGAGAGGTCGGGTCTGTCTTTTTTCAGTCATAATCGATAGTAGTAGTCCGTTGTCACTATGTACACCTCTTTACAAGTGAGTCTTAATATGTATAATACAGGGTGAATCGTATAGAACCGGCCCGATGAATTTGCTAATAATTCCGCAGGTAATGCATATAACCGCTCACAATTACGACATAATAATCCGTGGGCCGTGCTAAGTCGAATGGTGTGCTCATGATCCGGCAAGTGACAGCCCTTATGCTGCAAGGTCAAGGACAATCCCGAAACGTGTCTGCAGTGCGCAGGCGACAGTCATGGAGTTCACTGTTGAACAACGAGTGTTTCTAGTGCCTACTTGAAAACGGCGGACACTTCCAACACCTGGCCTGATCACGGCACACAATCCAAGATAAGATATGTGTAAATTACTTTAATATCTGTATGGTATATTTTATATTACACCTCATTTCGTCGGGCCGGTTCTATATGAATCACTCTGTATATACAAGGCCTCTGTCAGTCCATGCTCAGTACAGCAGACTATGCCCTATTTCTAGTAGTATGGCTTCGTTCTCTTCCGGACGGCCGCTTATATAGCGTATCGGTGTCCAAGGAAATGCCTGTTGATCACTCGTGTACACGGAAACGTGTTCCGTACAGAGTTGCTCTCCAAGAATCCACCTCAATGAAAATGAGTTTGTCTACGCTTTCCCTATCAGTGGGTCCACATGTTACAATATTGACACAATTTGGGCATATACACGTCATATCAAAACGTGCGCCCATTAGCACCAGCAGTGCACGATCGGCTAATACCCACGACCCCAAAAAGAATAAAAATTTATAAAACATTATATATATACTCGTATATATCCGCACCAATCTTCCTACTCTATCCACCTTAAACCACCTATGCATACAATAGAATACATTTTAGAAAAATTATAACAATTTTAAATATGCTTTACTAGTTTTAGGCAACTAATTCAGTATATTTGTACAGTGTAATTCTATGTAACATCTTTTACAAGACAAGACTATTAGTTATTAGTAAAGAACAGTTACGACAAGCAATTTAGCAATGAACGTGGATACATTTTGTTGTATATAAACGCCTGATGATTGTTCTAAATGACCGAAAGAGTTAGCAAAATAAAATCTTCATAAAACTAACTGATTATATCTACAATTTGAATACATCACTTATTTATTAAAAGTAAAAAATTCTTGTGATCGACGGACAAATTGCCACTGTATGTTGATATTAGGCTATTGATTACAGAGAAGGAGATACAGCACTGAGCGGCCTCCGGCGGCGTAACGTTCGTACCAGGTATCGTGAAAATAGTCGAGTGTTTCAGAAGTCAAGATTGAGGGGGAAAAAACAGACACACAATTTCTGCCTTAAAAAAAAGGGAATATGGGCCCATAATCGTGGCTAAATGCTTATCTTCCCAGTTTTGCAAACAATAAAATTTCAGAAACTGGTTCTGGTCCCTTCTTCAGGTGGCAAAACACGGCACAGTGACGAATCCTATTTCATTGGTGCCTTTGTACAGCTTTACCTTGGGCCTCACTGTCCACAGTTGTTCCGGCAACATTTGCAGTGGCAGATGGGTCTTGATACAGCGTGGAGATTTCAGCATCTCCACTTCACGTACAGAATCTCTAATGTTTGCTTTAGTTCTGGCTGCTTCTTTCACCAAACACCCAGTCCTGAGAAGATAAACATTTTATTTATATAAATCTTATTCAAGAATTCAATATAATAACAACTCATTATTTGTATACAATTATAGGCGTAATAAGTGCTGTATCATTGACCTGTTGAGGGTCAGTGGTAACTTATCTCTGACCCTGCAGTCGGAAGATTAAGGAACTGGGACATTACGTCTCATTTCCTTATACATCTATAAATTGTATATTAAAGGGAGCGTAGCGTTTTTCTTGTCACGTGGGAGTTTAAGCTTTAAAATATGTGTTTAAAGGAACATCAGGCTTCCAACACAGCATCCGAGAGGAAAGGATAGGGCCCAAGGTCACAGGAAAGAGAGACAGAAGGAGCAAATAAATATACTGTAACGGATTTGCTCAAAACTTTTCTAGGCAACGACCGCCTCTGTGGTCAGAGTTCCTGGCTGTAGATCCTGAGGTCGTGGGTTCGATTCCCTGAGATACCAGAATTTCTTATAAGTAGTGATTCTGAAACGGGGTCCACTCAGCCTCGTGAGAATAATTTAGGAGCTATTATCCGGTCTAGAAAACTGAGATCAACGGCTGTGGGGTTCGTTGCTCTGACCACGTGACACCATCTGTCCGTAAAAGTTGGCACTAACTTCGCCGACAAGCGGCGGTCGCTCGATCGATATATTATAGTTCGCTTGCGGGCTACAGGCCACGGAGATTTGTTTTGTTTTTGTTTCCAGGCAACAGCTCGCTAAATAAGTTCCAGCGTGCGACAATGGAAGATGTGTCTCAGTGGATGAATGTTATAGCTCGTTGGTAGCCAACAGTCAGCGCGCCAATGAACTCCCTGTGTAGGAATGACGTCACTTGTGTTTACTGTGTTGTCCGTTTGGAGCCTATATAATGAAGACCTGTTGTTGCTTAGATTAGTGCAGTTCAGTGCAGTGTAGTGTAAGAGTTACTTGCAAGAGTACGGCTGTGAAGAGAAGACTTTATGCGTAATACTTGGAGTGTGTAATTCAGTGCGACTGTTATAGTTCCTGCGTTTTAGTTGCCTTGTCAAGAGACGACTGATATGTGTGTAACAGTGAATTATAAAGCGTAGAAATAGCGATAGCTATTTAATTACATGTAACTATTGGTGATGAGTATAAGGAGTAAATAAACCCCTTCGTCTATTCCAGAACTCGCGTTATTAGTCACTAATACACGTAACAACATTAATAAACAACATTTAAAAAACATAAAATTTCTATACTTAGGCTTATTATCGTACATGACATCCTCTAACAAAAGAAGTTACCACACTGACACGAATAATAATATTCGCATCTTCCGAGTGCAAAAACCATGGAGAGCTATTTATGTTGGAGCCACTACTGATGCCTCAGGGCAGTTGTACTAACAACTGCAGCTAGACTGCAGACAACTCTCGCTGCCTGCCTCTTTGGGCTTCAAGGGCTTACTTGATATGTAGATATGTTACACGTAGAGACCACAGATGTGGAATAACAGGCAGATCGGTTATAGTAACCGTGAAGAACTTTCAGTCAGGCTTGTAGAGCAGCGAAGCTCCGCCAACCGCATCAAGTCACTTACTCAAGATAGGGTGACCTCTCTGTCTGGAGGATGCTCCTGGCAGTTTTGTAGTCCAGATTGTTGACAAGAAGCCAGACCATTTCTTGCATCCACGTCGTTCCTGTGAGACAGTTTGCATTACAGTGTTACCTCTTGTTTCGTATGGGTATGAAACTTGATCAGTCACATTGAACAAATAACATAGACTGAGAGCGCTTAGTAACTTGGCGCTGAAGAGAATATTTAGACCTGACTGAGAAGAAGGAACGGACGAATCCAGAAAATTACATAATGAGGAGATTAATAAGAGAGACTTGAGGTTCTAACGGTGGTATCAAGATTGCAGTTTTATGGGATGTGACGTAGTTAGTAGATGGATGCCAATGTCTCGGAGAAATGTGTTGCCTCCAGGTTTATTCTTCTATCCTGAAGATGGAGACAGCAGATTCTATCGAAAGATGATACCTATCCATCACATAATCGGCGCCATATCCCAGAAGACAGGAATCTTCAGTAGCTTCAGAATCTGTACTACCATATTCACTGAATATTGCTTGGAACACCAAATCAGGGAATGTGATATGGGCAAGGCATGTAGCACGCTTGAAAGGTGAATATAGATTGTAACTCTGATAAACTTAAGTCAAGAGATCAGATAGAGACCTACACGTAGGTGGGAGGATAATAATAAAATTGATCTTAATTACATAATGTGTGAGGATGTGAACTGGATTCATCTGGCTGAGGTTAGGGTCCAGTGGTGGTTTCTCATGAACATGGCAATGAATCTTTGATTTCAAAAAACGGCCTAGGAAGTTGTTGGGTAGCGGAGGGACAGTTAAGGACTCTGTCGTGAATTATTTAGTTCGCTTTCCCATGCCACTCACCAGATTTGGGGTATGTCACGACCCAGACGTCATCCTCCCTCACTGCCAAGCGTCGCACCCTGTCGGCGTAGTTTCGGTACTCGGCAAACATGGCGCAACCGGGCGGCCATACTTTGATAATGCCATCGCCTTCAAAAGTTTGGTTCGCAGCTCTGAACCTCTCGACGAGCGGTCCCTCCAGTACTTCATATCTGAAATCCTGGCTCTTCTCTTGCATCTCCTTGAGGTGCCGAGTTCTGCGAACTTCTGGGGGAGCGGAGATGTTTCACGTAGCTGTCAGTATCGTCACGATACAGCTGAGCCGTTAGTATCTTTTGAGGTTGAAGTTCCTATTGCAAAGTTGAAATGGTATAAATCGCCAAGTAGCGATCAAATTCCTGCAGAACTGATTCAAGTAGGAGGCGAAATATTACGTTCTAAGATCAATAGGTTAATTAATTCTATTTCGAATACTCAGAAAATATCTGATCAGTGGAAGGAGTCTATTATTGTACCAGTTCACAAGAAGGATGATAAAACTGACTGTAGAAATTATCGTGGTATATCACTGCTATTTTGCCATGGCAAAAGCTGCATTTAGCAAGAATAAGAATCTTTTTACCAGCAAATTGGACTTAAATTTGAGAAAGAAACTAGTGAAATGCTACATTTGGAGCATTGCTTTGTATGGGGCTGAAACTTGGACACTTAGGGCAGTAGATAAGAAACACCTGGATAGCATCGAAATGTGGTGTTGGAGAAGGATGGAGAAGATCAGTTGGACCGATTATGTGAGAAATGAAGAAGTGTTATTTAGAGTCAGTGAGCAGAGGAATATCCTACACGAAATCAGAAAACGGAAGGCTAATTGGATTGGTCATATCTTACGCGGTAACTGACTTCTAAAAGAAGTTATTGAAAGAAAGATAGAGGGGCGGATAGAAGTGACCAGAAGACGAGGAAGAAGACGTAAGAAGATGCTGGATGACCTTGGGGACAGAAGAGGATATTTTCGTTTGAAGGAGAAAGCTCTAGATCGCATCAAGTGGAAGAATTGTTTTGGAAGAGACTGTGGACCTGTCTTCACAGAGTACTGATGAATGAATGAATCACTGCTATCAATTTCATACAGAGTTTTATCTAATATTCTTCTCTCAAGATTAAGTTCATACATAGATGAAATTATTAGTGACCATCAGTGTGGGTTTTGACTAAAGAGATCAACTACTGATCAGATCCTTTGCATTCATCAGATACTGGGAAAAAATGGGAGTTCAATGAGACAGTGCATCAGCTATTAATAAATTGAAGAAAGCCCATGATTGAGTTAGGAGGAAAGTATTGTACAATATTCTGATAGGGTTTGGAATATCCATGAAACTAGTTAGGTTGATTAAAATGTGTTTAGACGGATCGTATAATAAAGTCCGTATAGGTAAACATTTTTCCAATAAATTTCCTATCCAGAATGGACTAAAAGAAGGAGATGCTTTATCGCCACACCTTTTCAACTTTGCTTTAGAATATGCCATTAGGGAGGTCCAAGAAAACCAGGTGGGACTGAAATGAAATGAACACATCAGCTGTTGATGTATTCTGATAATATATACATATATATGTATGTATGTATATATATATACACCATAAAGGGAAAAACGCAAACTTTATTTGACGCAAGTAAGGAGGTTCGTCTAGATGTAAACACAGAGAAAACTAAGTATATGTTGCTGTCTCGTCACCAAAATGCAGGGCAAAATCGTGACATAAAGATAGGTAACAGATATTTTGAAAATATGGCACAGTTCAGATATTTATGAACGACTATAACAAATCAAAACCTGATTCAGGAGGAATTTAAGAGGAGATTGAACTCGGGTAATGCTTGCTAACATTCAGCCCAGAATCTTTTGTCTTCTCGTCTGTTGTCCAAAAACATAAAAATTAGAATATACAGAACTATAATTTTGCCTGTGGTTCTGTACGTATGGGCGTGAAATTTGGTTCCTGATATTAAAGGAGGAACATAGACTGAGGTGAGAACAGGGTCTTGAGGAGAATATTTGCACCAAGGAGAGATGAAGTGACAGGAGATTGGAGAAAACTGCATAATGAGGAGCTTCCTAAATTGTATAACAGTGATAAAATGCGAAATACAACAGCGTGACCACAGAACAGCAATTTCGTGTCCATTCTTGTACACTCGATGATGGCAAGTTAGGCTGAAACATGTAGTGGAAAATAAATAATCAGAAGAGGCAAAAAAGCCTTCGATGTGTGAATTTTAAAATATGGACTGAGCTGCACAGGGACGGTGAAGTGAGAGGGCTCAAGTTGGAATACATACTGCAACAGGATGCAGCGGTACAACATTAAGCACTTGTCCCTATTGCTCGACTGAGTATATCCGCCCACGTTAAGAAATAAGTTTACTTACATATTTAAAATACGAAAAAATTGCGCCGTACGAAATGAAATACAGCTGTGTCTTGGTGCTACAATGACTGAAATTCGTTCCACTGAAGCCTTTACAAAATCAGCAGATGCAAAAACCGATATGCAGCAAGGTCACTGCGACACACTACTTTGCCTACGCAATTCCTGCAGTCTGCAGAGTACGATGCAAGCACTGCCGGCGGACAAGCTGCTAGTCGCTCGGCTAACTACAAACACTCCACCTCTTGCAAAATCCGGAGGTCCATGCTCATGTTTTCTGTCACGTGATACTGGCATATATCTTGAGCCAGTTCAGTCCAGAGATTATTCTTATCCTTAACATAAGGTTTTAATTTTATCCTCTCATCTACTCCTCGGTTAACAAGTCCTCCTCTTTAGTTTTTGCGTTTGACAGACTATTCAGAGCCTATTATTATAGACAAAATCATATGTCACGGTGTGACAGGCGTAGAGAAATACAAGGAAGAGGTAAACTTGTCCCTGTGCTTAAGTAACTAAGCACTATGCCATGACGACGCATGGGGGAGTGGAGGTGTGGCTGTACCCTTCATAACCTGAGCACTAGATGGAAGTGAGTGGCCAGCTCCACCGCCCGGCCGCTTTACCCCGGGCATACATCCCCGAGAACCTTTCGATGGGAGGCCGCGTGGCTTCTGGAGCCGGTATGGAAGCTGAGGAGAAGTGGAATGTGATAGCCCCGCCGGGAATAGAACCCAGATATCTCGGCCATCCAACATGTAGCCTAGTCGCTAAGTTATCCCGGTTTCCACGAAGAAGGAGAACAGTGTAAAACTGATAGGTTACGTCACTTGAAAAGTCAGTTACAAGAAAGTGGAAATGATTTTACATTTGTATTTTATCTCGGACATTGTTATTATTCTTAGTAGGGTGAGACTGAGTCCCTTGTACTGCGGCCACTTCTGGCCTATTGTACCAGCCCCAGATGAGAGGTGAGGGTGATTGTGGGGCAATTGGTGGAATGGAGATTGGCAGGGGAAACGGAAGTATTGGGAGGAAACCTGCCCCAGCGCCACTTCGTCAAACACAAATCCCAAATAACCTGACCGGGCCTCGAACCCGGGACGCTGCGATGGGAAGCCAGCACCTAACCGCCTGAGCTATGGCGTGGCGTATCTCAGACATAACCTGAACTTCATTATGCCTTAGAATGTTGCCTTTAGAACTGCAAAATTATGTTCGCTTACTTCAATAGGATACACATATGAAGTGACATAAATTCAAATTGTGAACATGGTGGCAAATGTTGATGTTTTTAAAAATCAGGATTTTTTTCTTTTTGCCGGGAGAATAATATCGACTCTTCTAAACGTTCCTGTACATTTTCAGTTAGAATACGCACTTAAACATCTTGGCAGTCACGTGACATGAACTGGATAACCATATTTATTGCGTATTTATTGAAACCTGGCTCTGAAATCCCAGTTTTCCGGGACATTTCTCGCGTCGCTACGTAATTACGGACATTCATTTCTAGAAGGCTCTGGAATCGAACCTAAGGCCTTAAGATGCTGTTCCAAGACTTTCACACAATTTTGATGAGACCGAATGAAAACTGAAATTCTGTGAAGAGAAAACACTTTTACGTGTGAAGAACTCGGATTCGAACTCAGGCCTTTTTTGTGGTTTCCAGTGCATTTACATTTTTAACAAATTGGCATTATATAGGTTTTGAGTATTTAGGGGCTGGAAATTGCTAACAAACATTCAAACTCCGTTTTAGACTATAGATTCTAATTTTAAATTATTTGAGCTGAAAAAAAGCGACCTACGGGACACCTGTAGAACCTTATGTTAACCTTGAAGTAGCGAAGGGGGTGGGGTGATCGTAGGCACGTGTCTGTCTCGTGTGTTAATTGTTTCACCTCTGCCACGTCACTTGTTGCAGTGGCGGATTATTTGTAACACCCCTCCCCCAGACAGCTTGATTCCGTAACATGTACCACTAATAATAAAACAAAGAGCGCACTAATAACACCTTGACACTGTTAGTGCATCTCTGCACATTGCTGTGTTTAAGCTTCTGGACATGAAGGCGTATGGAGGAAGTGGAGACAAATCTTCACGCATCCTACTACATCCCGGCACAAGCTTTGAGCTGCGTGGTGAGGTTCACGCTGTGAAATATGTGTTTATTTATTTATTTATTTCGTAACGCTCTGTCTTCGTCCTGGTCTAGTTATTTCTCAACTTCGCACACTATATACGTATCATGAATGGTGTATTTGAGACGATATGGGGTCGCATTGGCTTATCTCGTGGAAGTATGGCGACATTCGAATGTAGAAGCTTAGGAACACCACGAAATATTCGATAAGAATAACGGTTGTGGTGACCGAGAGAAGAACCTGGAACCTCACAGATAAGGGGCAAGGCAGCCAACCACTACACCGCGCCGTTCGATACAGGCAGGCCCCAATACTGTGGACAGAAACAGCTTGTGCCCACACCGGGACTTGAACCCTGGCAATGCTGACAGCGGCTGTGGGACCGCGAAGTTTAGTCTTGTCGACAGAGATCTCTGGTTTGAATTTCGGCCAGGAGATCTTTAATCCTGACAGCTTTTGTTTCTTGGTTTACCTCAGTTTCTTCAGGCCAGCACTGCAATAATCCCTTAAAACGGGCCACGCCCACTTCGACACATTTCTACTATTTTATTTACTGTGTAACTTGTATAGTTAGACAAGCATCGTTGAATAAAGTAGAAACAAGCCGTGTTAGAGACCTAACTATAGTTTCTTGACGT